CAGTGCAGTGAGCTCTTCTGAACAGCAGTAAAAGCCTGGAAGGGGTGGAGGAAAATGGGGGAAGCGGGGAAAGGGCTTTCTGGGGAGTCCCAGTCCCTGGATCTCTGGCTATGCTACATGACTTTCTGTGCCTCAGTTTCCCCTGATGCAGCACTGCTTGGACGGCAACAGATGAGCCATTTTGTTTCTTCCACAAGGCAGTGTGTGCGTGCTTTCAAGGCAAGGCTGCTCTGCCCTGAGCTGTGGTTCTGAGCCCCTCCAAGGTGACAGTGACCGCCAGCTCATCCCAGGGGAAGGGCTTAGACCAGCACCTGGCAGCTCTGGGGCCGCCTAAGATGAGTGAGGTAAGGTGTGGCCACGGCCCTGGTGCCTTCAAGTCTTGCCCCTTGCACAGCCCTAAATGTGCGTGACCTGGGAGGTTGCCCCCGGGCACTAAATGGGGGTGACAATGTCCCTTGTGCCTCCAAGTGACACAAGACAATTGGGACAGGTCGAAGTCGGGCCTGAACCAGGAGAGATGTTTGATAAAACAGGGTGGTTTTCTGCCACTTACTCCTGAAAAGGTGGTTGGTGGGGCATGGGGGGCACTGTGCATGTCATAGAGATGGTAACTCAGGCTGGAGATGTGCCAGGGCTGGATCGAGGTCACCCTGCAGGCCTGGGACATCACGCAGATCCTGGCAGAGCCTCTGGACCTGAATGCAGATTTCCCATGGGGCAAAGTGGGTGGGGTCGCAGGAAAAGGGGCCCCAGGCCACAGTAGGAGGCCCACCTTCTGCTCCGGCTCAGGCTCGGGGGACTGGCTCCAGCAGCCGTGGCTGCAAGCCTGCTGCTCTGTCTCCTTCACATAGGCTTCCACGCAGGCTGTGGGAGGTGGGAGGGCGTGACTGGGGTTGGCCCTCCCAGACCACCTCTCCCCGCCCTGGCCCACCCTGCCGGTGGGCCCTCACCTGCTTCACACTCAGTCTGGGTGGCATTGGGCTTGGAGCTCCTGGCCACGAATCGGCAGATGGAGAAGAGGCGGCAGCCACGCTCACAAGCGCTGATCAGAACAGCTCTGTCATAGGGAGACTCGGAGGCGCCCTCCAGCCCCGCCTGGGGTGGGGGGGGACACGGAGCTCAGGACATGGGGAGGGGCAGGAGGGGGTGGACCGGAGCCTTCAGGAGATGCAAGGGAGGGTTTTCCGACTTCCCACCAAATCTAGCCAGATGAGGATGAAGTTGGGGGGAGGCTACAGATATTGGCGGAGGCTCTGAGGAGGGAGATGGGGAGGGAGCTTAAGAAGAGAAATGGACAGTGAAGGTGGAGAGAAATGAGCCTTCCTCCCCAGTCTCCAGGGAGGAGGGGAGAGATGGAGAAGGATTCTCAAACTTGGAGGAGGAGGAGGAGGAGGAGGAGGAGGAGGAGGAGGAGGGGGAGGAGGGGGAGGAGGAGGCTCAGAGGAGGCGGGCAGGCTTAGAGGATAGGGGGAGGCTCAGGCTTAGAGGATGAGGGGAGGCTCCCAGGAGGGGGGAGAGGCTCATAGGAGGTGGTTTTGGTTACACTCAGATCAGACTTGAATCCTGGGGAGTGGTGTATGAGTAGGGGCTGGTACCTCTCAGTGGAGAGGGAAGAGGATGTGGAGGAGGGGGAGGAGTGAGGTGGGGGGACCGTCAGGCCTGAGGGAGCTGGAGGTTGGGTGCTAGAGGGTCCTTGCCCAGCAGAGTGCAGAGGGAGCCCAGGAGGTGGTATCAGCCCTTATCGCAAGGACCTGCATCTCCAAGCCCTCCCCCATCGGAGAGACCCCCTAGCACGTCCCCCACAGGAGGGACATCCCCATCCCCGACCCCTCCCGCCCCAGGTACCCTCCCCCAGTCTCCTCCTGTCATCCAAGAGAAGCCATCCCAACCCCTCCCCTTTCGGAGAGATCCCGCGTACCCCGGCTGGCACCTGGCCCCTCAAGCGCCTCACCTGCGAGGGCCGCGGGCCGAGGTCGCCGTCGCGGCACCGCAGCTGGCAGTTCTGCGTGTCTCCGAGCTGGGGGGCGAAGGGGTCGCGGGCTGATGGCGCGGAGGCCGCGGGCGGAGATGCCAGCAGCAGCAGCAGCAGCGGCGGCATCAGCGCCACCGCAGCCATGGCTGGGCCGAACGCGGGGGGCGCGGGGGACTCCGGCTCCGGCCGGACACGGAGGACGCAGCGGCTGCGGCGGGGACCGGAGCGCTGACGTCACCCGAGCGAAGCAGCCTGGGAAGGGGGGGTGGGAGATGCGGAGAGCGGGCGGGGGAGCTGCGCTGCGGCATCCGCGGGGTGCGGGTCGGGCGGGGCAGGTGCATCGCGGCCCTCACCGTCTGTCCCATCGCGGGGGTCCCAGGACACCTCCCTGGTGCCCACAGGCGGCGGATTTCTGCTGGCGCTAGGGGCCAAAAGGAAATAGATAGGGGGTGGGATGGAGGGGGCTATTCGCCAGGGGTGTTGGGGAGAGCCTGGCGGAGGAGGCAAGGTGTGAGTCGACCCCGCGGGAAAGAGGAGGAAGGGGTGTCCAGGCTACGAGGGTCAGCGAGGACCCTGAGGAGAAGAGCTCCTTGGTGGAGGAGGAGGGAGGGCAGTGGGACTGGAGTCCAACCAGGGAACGGAGAGGGAGGAAGGTGAGAGCCCCAGGACCCGGCAGCTGAGGCCGGACGTCTTCGCCTTTGACACCCAGGTCAGAGAGAGGTGGCAACTTGTGAGCAGTTTGCCTCCTCCGAGAAGCCCTCTGAGCCCCTCCCTTGCTCCTTCAGCTTTGCCTCCTTTTGGTCCAGCCCTGATCTACGGACCTGGGGGATCTGGCCCTGTCTCCCCAAGGCTGGGGACCCCCTGGGCCAGGCCTTAGTGGGAGGGGACCCAGAGGTACCCTCAGGAGCAGGGGGAGGGGCAGCTGCTAAAATTTCTAATTCTCGTGGGAAAACTCGGGGCAAATAGCGACACTTCTGACTTCCACAACCACCACACCCTCGGGTGGTGCGCTGTAGCCCCAGGAGCCGAATCTCGGGTTAGGGTATCCACCCAGCTTCTTCTCCGCCAGGTACGGGAATGGGGACGCCCCTCTAAACCCAGATTCTCTGCAAAGATGCCTCAGCTTTCGCTGGCATCCCTGACGCAGGTGCCTGCAGCGCCGCGCCGCCGCCCGCGCGTCCCCCCCACGCTCCGCCCCCGCAGACGGCCCGGCAGCCTCGCAGGGTCCACGGGTCAGAGGGCACCTCAGGTTCCGGCCCGGAATGAGAGGGTCCGGGGTGGGGGCCTGGCGCACCCGCCCCCCCGTCATGGCCTGCGGCCGCGCTTTCATCTCTGAGGCCCCCGGCCGGCCCCCACGTGGCTTAATCAGGCGCGGCTGTGCCTGGCGGACCCCGAACATCTGGATCCCGGCGCGGCCCCTCCCCCGCCCCGCCCCGCCTCTCCCCTCCCTTTGCCTCCCCTCCCCTCCCCTCCCCTCCCAAGCTAGGCCGCTGCGACCCGGCGGCGAGGGCCTCCAGCCGGCAGTTTGCGCCAGAATCCAGCAGGGGAACTCCGGCTTCTAACCCACCCGCGCGCCAGGCCGGCACCTTGGGAAATAGCCCTGTGCGTTATGACGGCGATACTGTCCCCCATTTCACAGGTGGAAACTTAGGCTCCGGGACGCGTTGACAAAGACAGGATTCAAGCCCACACATGTTAATTCCAGAGGCCCGCCGCGCGCCTAACCCCTCCACAATTACTGTCCTTCATTCATTCCAAACAAAACACTTTTTCTTGCAACAACCGTATAAGATAGGTACTGGTGGCGTTGCCCTTTTCTACAGATGAGGAAAATGAGGCTCAGACTGCAAAGTGGTTCTGTCCAGGTGACAGGGAGAGAAGCAAAGAAAAGCCGGCAGGGCCCTGCCAGTAATGGGAGGGGGCCTTAGGGCATAAGAAGCATCGCTTAAAGCGCATCAGGGAGGAGGAACACCCCGCGCCCTTTTGCAGAAGGGGAAACTGAGGCTGCAGGAGTGGGTCGATTGCCCAGGTTGCCCGAGGGGAGAAGGGAAAAAGGCCGATTGCCGCCCACCCACCCCCCTTTCCGCTGCGCGAGGCCGCTGGGGGGGTGAGCGGAAAGAGGACTTGACTCTGGCCCCCAAGGTGAGCCCCCGCGCCCCTCCTGCTGTTCCCGGGGGAGCCGGTCCAGGTGAGGGGCGGGCGGGCCGGCGGGCGGCCAGGGTCGGGTTTCAGGAAATCCGCCGACATTCCTTCGGGGCTTAAGAGGGAAAGTTGACTCGGCGCCGCCCTCGCCCCCCCCCACTTCCTACCCCCCGGGGCGGCCTGGCCGGGGGCGGCGCGCGGGGGGCGCTGAGGCCGGCCTGGGCGTGAATCAGCGGCAGGCCAGGCGTCCGGGAAGCCACAGCGGCCGAGGTCAAGGCGGGCGTCGGACAAGCGCCCTTTGTCCCTTGCCGCCCTCATCGCGACCCTGCTGACCCCCACCTCCAAGCAGTGTACAGGCTGGGGAGGAGGCAGGGCACCATGGCGCCGGTGGTGGTTGCTGAAGGTTGTTGGGGGAGGAAGGAGGGATGTGACTGCCCCTCCTCCTCCGAGCAGCTGGTGCCTCTTGGGACCCAGACTTCAGAGGCTCCTCAGGGTGCAGACGGGCAGGGAAACTGGCCTCCCTGGGGCAGATCTGCAATCCCCAGGCCAGGTCTCCAGGGCCGGAAGTCCAGAGTACATTAAGCTGAGGACCCAGGCATCCCTGCTCCCCAGGCTCAGCCTCCAGGGCAGAAATTATAAAGCCTAGGGCACACCCAGGCCCCACTTTCCTGTGCCACAGACCTTGAACCAGACATCCACTGTCCCTTAATTCCTGGAAGCACCCGCCTGGAACACCAGGCAGCTAATCCTATACTGGGGGCCCCTGAGGACCCGGCTCTCAGAATGGGAAAGGCAGCTCCGCCCTCTTCCTCCCAGTGGCTGTGGGTCCCCACAGGACCCTGAAGGTCCCATTTCCACTGGCCCCTCCGTGGTGCACCCTCAGTGCCTTGGAATCCCAAGGAAGCTGGGGATGGAGGGTCCCTAACCTAATACCTGTCCTTCAGAGATGACCTTTGAGTGGAGGGTACAGGACTCAGGATGGGTCCCTCCCCCAGCCCAAGGAAAGGCCCACCCTCCATCTGCCCCTTAGACATTCCCAGCCAACTTCAAGGACTTGGGTCAATATTTACCAGAAGTTCCACTGACGAGAGCTCCCTTTTGTCCTCAAGGAGATGATGGAACTGGGGAGGAAGGGGTTAAACTGCTGGGGACCCTAAGGGCTGGGAAGGTTGTATCTTGGGGTCAACTCCCTTTCCCTGAAGTCAAAGGTGTGGGGTAAAGGTCACCCAAGGGCAGAGGTCACACTCCACGGTGGGGCTGGGCAGGACTGGAAAGGGTCCTTCCCCTTATACCGGTAAGGGACAGAGAGGGATGTCTACCAGCTAGGGTTACACAGCCAGACAGAGAGCGAGGGCCAGGCTGGGACCGCAGGCAGCATGACTTGCTGGGACTGAGTTTTCTTGCTACTTAGAGGGACTGAGAATTCTCCATCCTTTCATTTTGCAAATATTTAGTGAGTGCTTCGCCTTTAGCCCTTACTGGGTCCAGCATGGGGTCCAGTGGGGCTAAGGCTGCCCACAGTCTAAAGAAAATCAGTTGCACAATGAATGAAGTGTTTGGAACAGTTGTATTGCAAAAACAATAAAACAAAGTGAAGGAGAAGGAGACTGCTGGGGGAAGGGTGGAGGGCCTCTCTGAGGAGGTGACACTGGACCTGTGACCTGGTGGAAGAGAAGGGGGCTAACTGGGGAAGATGTGGGGAACAGCATTCCCGCAGAGGGAACAGCCAATTCGCAGAGGCCCTTTGATAGTAACAAGCCTGGTATGTTTGGGGAAACAGGGCTCCAGTGGCTGGGGTGGAATGAGGGAGAGGAGGGGGAAGAGGAGAGGGAAAAAGAGGATTGGAGAGGATGGGAGGAGGGAGGCAGGGCAAAGATCTGCTTTTTCTTCTTTTAAAAGCTCCCTGTGCTTGGTGTGCAGAGAAAGGCAGAGAGTTATCAGGGAAGTCCCCGAGGAGGCCGGGAAGGATCCCTAAGGGAGACCGTGGGGTCTGGATCTGAATGGGTTGGGAAGAAGAGGTCAGCGTCTCAGAATGGGGATGTGTTTTGGAACCAGAGCCAACAGGATTTGCTGATGAATTGGACATGAGGGATGAGGGAAGGAGAGAGTTGTCACGCGCGCTTCTAGGTCTCTGCCTTGAGCACCTGGATGGATGGGGGAGCCCTTTAAATGGAGGGGAAAAAAAATCAACATTTTGCTCCAGAAGCCTGAAGTCCTCCCAGGAGTGGGTAAAGGGTCTGTACCCACAGAGAGAGCATCTGCAAACAGGGGCCGTGGGGAGGAGCGTCGAGTATCCTAAAAACTATTCCAGCCAAGAACTGCCACCTCCACTTACCCTTCGGGGCCCCCTGGCAGGTGGGACGATGGCTCTATGTTTCAGAGGGGACAAGCAGGCCTGGGGGTCACCTCTGCTCCAGGAGATCCTGCAGTGCTGTGCTAAGGGTGTAGAGACTTCCACTGCCTTGTATCTTCCCATGGAAGTCCTTAGGCTGGGTGGTGGCCATTGGGCAGAGAAAGAAGCTGAGGCACAAAAGGCCTGGTAAATGGCAGCGTCTCTCTTTGTCCCTCTTCTCCATCCAGAGTTCAGATGGGGCAGGGGCGCCCAGGGCCCCCGTAGGCCCCCATCCCCCAATCTTGTTTTCTGACAGTCTGGAGTCTGAACTGGAGATATAAGTAGGAGAGCGTGGGGCTTCCGTCTTGGGCAGACAAGTGGGTGCTCCTGAGCCCCCCTCAACTTTTACCCCCTTGGCTTGTTGAGGACCGAGGGAGAGAATCCAGGCCCCTAAGGGACTCCTAAAAAAGGGGACTTGGAGGCGTTCCCTCCCCAGCTGGGGGCGGGGCTGCGACCCAAAGTGGGTAACTGCACCCCCTAACTCTCATTTCAGGCACCCCCATCCGCAGCAGCCTTGGAGGCCAGTAACTCTTTATTCCTGGGCACCCGCATCGGGTGGGGACCCGGAGGAGATAGATGAGGCGCCCGGGCCGGGAGGGGTCCCGAAACTCGAGCAATGGCCAAAAATAATAACACGGAGAAGGCTCTTTGCGCAAAAGAAGGAAGACAAACTATGCGTCGCTCCGGGCAGCCGGCGTTACCTGGAGTCGGCG